ATTGTGGTTGATGTTCGTGGAGTGGTGGGAGTTGTTGGTGAAGGAGTGGGGGTGGTCGTGGAGGTTGTGGTGGTCTCCGTGGTGGTGCTGATCGAGGGAGTCGTCGTCTCCGTGGTGGTGCTGATGGTGGGCGTTGGTGTGGAAATACACTCCTCCCAGCAGCAGTAAACATTGATCTCGTAATTGAGGCAGAAGGGTGTATGGGCAACCCCTTCTATCTCTTGGTTTTCGTTCTTGCACTCCAGCCCAACAGAGATATTACACACCACCGTCTGTCCAAGTTTCTCAAGTGGGAGGTCAGGAAACATCACGGCTCGGCAGGAGATATTCTCTGCCCAGCCTGACCCACAGATGCCTTCAATTGCCTCAAAGTCACCCCCACCCGGCTTGATAAAGTCCGGTTTGCCCGAATCTATCCAGCCTGTCCACTTACAGCATGGAGTTGTGGTAGGTACCTTGCTTGATGTGATGATTGTGACAGTGGTGGTCCATTCTGAGGTGGGCGTGGAGGTCGTGGTTGTCACTGTGGTTGTTGTCTCTGTGGTAGGGGTGGTTGTTGTGGTTGATGTTGGGGGAGTTGTGGTTGATGTTGGCAGAGTGGTGGGAGTCGTTGGTGAAGGAGTGGGGATGGTCGTGGTGGTCGTGGTTGTCACTGTGGTGGTGGGCTCTGGGGTAGTGGAGGTTGTTGCGGTTGAAGCTGGAAGAGTGGTAGGAGTGGTTGATGAAGGGGTAGAGGTGGCTGTTGTGGTTGGACAAACGTCCATTGGCAGGCAACATTTGACACGGATCTCATAGTCGTAGCAGCGTCCAAATGGTCCGATTCCAAACTGGTCTTCATTATAGCAAATGAACCCGACAGAGACATTACACCAAACCTTCTGCTCCAGCTCCTTCCAGCTGAGGTCGGGATCTGTGGCTGACCTGCACTCGATGTCCACGGGGTCCCTGCAGACACTCTCAAACGTCTCTCGGTCTCCGCCATCACTGCCAGAGCTTGGGTGGTTCTCGTTGATCCAGTTCGACCAGAAGCAGCAGATGTCTAGGGAAGAAACCCAATGGTGGTCATGCACACTGAGAAGCGGCCCTTTTCAGGAGGTCTCTTTGGCTCAGAGAACCCACTGTCTGCCACACCTGCCCCCCCACGCCACTACCCTGTCATTGCCCAAGGACCCAACTGTAGAGTCAGAGTATGAGCTGGTCACCTTGACCCTGATTTTGCAGCCAAAAATCTGAGGCCCAGAGAGGGAAGGGGCCCTCACAGACCTGGGTATCAAAGCTCCAGCCCAGGGCCCTGTCCTTGGCCATTTTCAAAACCTCATGTCAAAAAATTAATAACCAAAGGGTCAGTGTTCCAGGAAGGAAGTGGCTTGTCTCTACTCTTGACCAACAACACTGTCACCTAGAGCTGATCAAGTTCCACTCCATCTGTCCCTGGACTCAGCAAACTGTGACTAAAGTCACCAAAAAGACACCCCTGTTTGGTCCATGGAAACCCTGGTGGCATAGTGGTTAAGAGCTATAGCGGTTAACCAGAAGGTCGGCAGTTTAAATCCACCGGGTGCTCCTTGGAAACCGTATGGGGCAGTTCTACTCTGTCCTATAGTGTCGCTATGAATTGGCATTGAATCAATGGTAATGGGTTCTTTGATCCATAGGCAGATGTGCATCGAGCACAGCCCAGCCCTACATCTGGTCCAGCGGGAAGCTTCCTTCGTAATTTTGTAAGGCTTTGTTCTTTGTCCTACTTGTCATTGTAAGGCGTCATCCGCATGACTTACTCGGAGTCGTTGAAGAACCTACAGCAAAGAAAAATAAATAAATACAAGAGGATTGTTACTGAATTCATTATAGAGTTCAAAACCTACACTTTTTTAATGTTTAAAAATTTATTTTTTCGGTGGCTCTCCTAGCTCTGGTGGCTTGTTAAGTAGCAGCTAAGATTCCAAACAGAACTGATGTAGAGGAACTTAAGTGGGCATCTCTGGTTTCTCTATTGGGTGCTATGAGTCTGGACGAACTCCATGGCAATGAGTTTGGTTTTGGAGTTAGGGATATTTCCCTATGTTGCCTTCCACTGCGGCCTGAGCTTGAGGATGTAGCCATGGTGCTGGTGTTCCAACTCACAGGGGCAGGGGAGCCAGGGGACACTTCCCTGGCCTAAGAAGAGGGTCAGCACCCTGTCTGTGATCAGGGCCAGCTGTACCAGGCTATGTCTCTCCCACTGCCCCCGGAAGCTCCGTTTCTGCAGGATGCTAGATACAGATGCAGGGGAAGAGCCTCGTAAGCGGGTTACGTGGCTGGGGGCTGTACCTGTGCTGTTGGTCGTTGTCGGCAGAGTGATGGTGGTGGTGAAGGTGGTGGTGGAGGGGACAGAGGAGGTGGTGGAGGTCGTTGAGGGTGGCTTGGTAGACTCGCAGATGTTGAAGTGTTGCACGATTGTCCCATTGGGACCACAGATCTCCCAGTGGCAGAAAGGACCATCCTGGGTCTGGTTGACAATCTTTCCTGGGGGTGGAGGGCCAAGCATCAACACATTTGGAGCAGGGCAAGACTCACAACCCCCCTCACCACGTGTTGCAAGTTAGGGAAAGGCTGGGCGTCTCCTGGCTCAAACAAGTAACAAACCAATGCCCGATGGGACTTGTCCCCAGAGTGTCCCCTTTGAGGAAGGAGCCCCCAGCAGGGTGCAGGCTGGATTGTGAGGAGAGGTGATGGAGATGCACCATGAGGGAGGGCACCAGTTCCCCAGAGAAGGAAAGAGAAGGTGCCACATGAGTCTCACGGAGCTGCTGCAAATCAGGGGCAGGACTGAGCTGGGAGGGGGCCAGACTGGCGCAAAGGGGCAAAGCCCAAGGACAAGCCCCAGCCACCCTCCCTGGGTGGACATTCCTGGGCTACCAGAGTTCAGGAATAGGCAGCCTGAAGCCTTACTGGGTGGGCCCTGCCCACCGCCTGGAGGGGTGGAGCAGCAGAGAGCACTCACCTTCATCAAACCAGCAGACGACCTCCGAGGTGGCATTGCACACACTGCAAAGCAGACGCAGTCAGATGCTGGCCCAAGGGGCGCTAGACTGCCCCCGTCCAGGACCTCTGCCTCCCCACCCAACACTAGTCTCCCCCCACCCTGTGTCCTGGGCCCACAATCCCAAGATGCTGCACCAGAGCCAGGTTCCAAAGGACCACCCTCTTGGGGTCCCACTGTAGGCACAGGAAGGGCGAGGTGGGGAAGGCTGGCGCCAGCCTCCCAAGATGAGAACAGAGGCCTCCCTCTCCCAAGTCCTGGTTCCTCTGTGTGTGTGTGCACATGTGTGAGTACATGTACTGTGCACATATGCATATGCATGTGTGCCTGTGTGTACGTGTGTGTGCATGTATGCATGTGTAAGTGTGTTGTGTGTGCCTATGCTCCTGTACGTGTGTGGCTTGTGCCCATGTGTGTACATATACTTGTGTGTGCATGTGTGCTGGTGCATGCATGTATGGCTGAGAGCCCGTGCACGTGTGCAGGTATGTGTGTGCGTGTATGTGTGTGCGCATGCACGTGCTTGTGTCCTGTGCATGCTGGCACCCCCTCAGCGCCCCACGACGTGGGTTCAGGTACCAAGACTCGCAGATGTCTTCAGTGGGCACCGATGCCCCAGGTGGGTAGTGGTTGTCCTCGATGTAGCAGCCACACTTGTCGCTGGTGACACACTTCTTCAGATCCTCATCATAGATGGGCCTGTCTTTAGGGCACTGGGGGTAGCAACCTGGTGGGCACAGAGCATGGGGCTTGGACCACCACGGAAGACCCTAGTCCACCAGACGGCCATCACGCCCACCCCTGCGGGCGGTTCTTTCCCAGATGATCCTCGGAGAAGGCTAGGCATCAGAAAGTGGGGACCTGGACCCCCTCCCCCACCCGGTACGTTGGCAAGGCCAAAGGCACAGCTCGGCCACGCCCACCTGCTGACGGGTAGCCAGGCCCAGTCCAGCCTCCACCAGCCCCGCCCCCTCCCACCCCGTCCGGCATCTGTCGGTTTACTTGCTTCTTTTCTGTTCCCCTCCTCCTCCCCCAGGGAGAGCTGGGCTCCAAGTACCTTGTGCAATAAGCAGCGAGTGGGTAGTTTGACTACTTTTTGCTTCCTGCAACAGCAGGAGCCTGCCCACCCTGGGCCTTGGGTCCTGGCTGTAGGGCCTCTCTCTTGGGGTGGAGTCCCCTCCCCCGCTCACCCTCCAGGTAGGACACGGAGATGTTGGAGTGGATGCCGTTGATGGTTCTGCAGGTCTCGAAGCTGCGGTTCCCGCATGGTTCGTAGTGCCACTCACACTCGTGCGGGGGGTTGTAAAAGTCGCAGAAGATGGCTGTGGGGTGGGGGAGGGGCGGTCAGACCCTCGGGGTGCCAGCGCAAGGAGGGGGAAGTGACTGGGGTGGGGGGGAAGCTGGGACAGGCCGAGCTCGCTCCTGCCGTCCCGGGTCCCACGGTGGCCCCTCGGGCGGGAGTTGGGGTGCCCGGGCCGAGCCTGGATGGATGAGGAACCTCAGTCCCCAGGCAGCCGCACTCACGGCACAGGTCGGGCGTCCTCCAGAAAACGCAGGCTGCCTCCTTGGTGCACTCCTGCGCGTAGGCGGCCACGGCCGAGCAGAAGCACTCGCAGTCGCCGCCCGTGTTACAGGAGCAGGAGTCGTGGACGCAGGCCTCGTAGAAGGGCTTGGGGTCCACCTGCCGGAGAAGCCGCAGTGAGCCCTGGGCCTGCCGCCCTCGGGGGTTCCCCCAGCCGGCCCAGCTAGGGGTCCCCAGCCGTCAGGCGGCAATCCTAAAGCCTGCCTCTACCCACTGCCCAGAGTTGAGTGCGGTCCGGGTGTCAGGGAGTGATGTACCAGTTCCCCCGGGTGAGCACCTCAGCCCAGGAAGGTGGGCGCCCACGATGGCCCCGCCCGCAGGCGGCAGGCTGCCCCGACAGGCCTCTCCCTCAGCCCATCTGTGGCCCCGCCCACGGCCTCCGGTGGCCCCGCCCACAGGCCGCAGGCAGCCCCGACAGGCCTCTCCCTCAGCCCATCTGTGGCCCCGCCCACGGCCTCCGGTGGCCCCGCCCACAGGCCGCAGGCAGCCCCGACAGGCCTCTCCCTCAGCCCATCTGTGGCCCCGCCCACGGCCTCCAGTGGCCCCGCCCCCAGCCCGCAGCAGCACCGCCAGGCCCCGCCCCACCTTGCTGTGGCAGACTTGGAAGACGCTGCTCTTGATGATGCTGCACTCCTTCTCGGCCCAGGAGAGGCGGTGCGGGTTCAGGCTGCAGGGCTCGGGGATCGTGGTCACGTCCGTGCAAGTGGGGGCCTCCTTCCAGCTGTTCCCGAAGTCCAGCTCGCTGTCCACCACCATGTGGTCCCGCGTGGTGAAGTCGTTGCTGGAGCGGTGGTCGAAGTTCCCGCACAGGCCGCACACGGTGCCCTGTGAGCAGGAGAGGCATCAGGCGCTTCGCGAGGGGGGTCGCGAGGGGGCGAGGGCCCCGGGCTGCCCGTTCCGGCAGAGGGGCGGGGCCGCTGCACGCTAACCTGGGCGCGCCAGGTGAGCACAGGGAGGGGGCCCGTCAGCGGGGCGGGGAGGGCGGGCGCACCTTGTAGGAGGGGGCTAGCTTGATGAAGATGGTGGTCTTCTTGTCCCAGATGACGATGATGCCAGTGCTGGCCTCCACCACGAGGTACTGGCCCACCGGCCGCGTGGTGTAGGACACGTGGTGCCCCACGTCACGCTGGATCACCGCTCGGTGCTTGTCTTCCAGCTTCAGCTCTGTCCTCTGGGTGTGGGGAGGGGTGTCACCGGCTGGCCTTGTCCCCAAGAGGCCACCAGCCCAGGTCACGAGAGCCCATGGCCCCTCCCCCCATCCTGAGAGCCCACACCTGGGTCCTGAGAGCCCAGCATCCCCCTCGGAGAGCCCACACACCCTCCCCCATTCCTGGGAGCCCACGCCCCAGTCCCAAGAGCCCACACACCCAGTCCTGAGAGTCCACACCCCCAGTCCCACCGGCACTTACCCCCAGGAAGATCTTGATGGCCTTGGAGCAGGTCACACCCGTGGTGCCACAGGGCACGTTCTCCGTGATAATGCTGAAGGAACCCAGAGAGCTGTTCTGGCCACAATAGTCCTGGGGGTGAGGGCACATGAGCCAGGGTGGGGCCGGCACCACCACTGAGCCAGAGAGCCGGCTGTGTCCCTTCTCAGCCGGGATGCCAGGGCCTCAGCCCTGCCTCGGTATGGGGTGGGGAGCCGAAAGAGAGGGATTGGGGAATTTGACAGACCCTTCCCTCCCTGCCCTCTATGTACCCACAGAGGGGTGGAAAGGGGGCTTTAAGGTGCCTGCCTATCCTCCTCTGGGAGCCTGAATCCTCCAAGGGTGGGGTTCTGGACAGAAGGAAGGGCCCCTCTCACCCCAGGCCTCCCCCTCCTCACCTGAACGGCCACGTAGGAGCAGTGCCCATCAAAGTTGTAGTACTTCCCATCAAAGGTGATGTAGTGGCCGCCGCCGTAAATGGCACAGGTGCCGTGGCACTTGGACTGGGTGCACGCCCAGCGGCCTCTGCGGCAGGTGCTGAGGAGAGCAGGGCGAGGGGCTGGAGGGGCTGGGGGCCACTTCCCGCCCCTACTCAGAGGGCAGCCCCCAGCGACTCCTTCAAGCACCCCTGTCACCCCGACAGTGTCGCCCAGACACCCATGCCTGGCAGACACAGGGAGGTGGTCATCTGGCCCTTCAAGACCCTGGGGACCTTGGGGAGGAGACGCCACGCCGAGTGGCTCAGCAGCGGTCGGCGCTATGAGGGGCTGGCTGGGCCAGGCCGTACCAGGTATTGCAGTCCACCTTGATCTTCTGCCCAGGGGAGTACCGGTCATTGTTGTGGACACAAGGACACTCCTCCTCCACCACACAGCCACCTCTGCCATCATCGATCAGCCCATTGGGGCACACGCAGCCACTGACGCAATCCGTCTGGTACTAGGGTGGGCAGGGAGTGGGGCTCAGGACAGTGGACCAAGAGGCCAGAGTCCCCCCCTGCACGAGCAGCCTCCTCTTCTCACTGCACAGGGCAGCCTCTGTGTCCCAGCCCTCCCCCTTGCCCCATGCCAACCCCACCTGACCCAACCCAGGACCCCTCCTCTCAAGATCACCCCTGGGCAGGAAACAGGTGAGGGCTGCCTGCCAGAGGCCCCCAAACTGGCCCTTGTGGCTCAGGCGGGCTGCGTGGGCGTCCAGGCCGCCACCACTCTCCAGGTGCCGGGAACACCAGCAATGTCCGTGTGTCCATGGGACCAGGCATCGGAGCCTCGGAGCCTCAGAATGGGGCATCCCACAAGCCTGCCTATGCGTCCTCCACGTGGGGCTCCAGGGCTCCACATGCTCAGCCAGTCGGCCCCCGAGGCCCACCCAGCACTCACAAAGCCTGCAGCCAGCGTCTGGCAGCTGACGGGGTGGGGCTTCCGGATGGCCAGCGCAGTCAGGTTGCTGCAGTCCATGTAGATCTTTGGGGCTGTGCAGTCTGCAGTACCAAGCGGCCATGTCAGCTCAGGCTGAAGTTGGGGGGCTCGGGCGGCGGGGTGGGGATGGGGAGCAGGTTGGGGGCCACTTACCGTCACCAATCTGCTTGATCAGCTTGCAGTGCAGCCTCCCACTCTGGCAGATGCTGCAGGGGAGAGAGAGGAGGTGAATGGGGCCTTCCCGGGACTTCCGGCAGCGTCTCAAGCCGCCCAGGCGTAATCCCCATGCAGAACCGTCACAAGAAGCCACCGCAGCCCAGGAACAGATGAGAGCTGGCCGCTGTCAGCTCCTCTCAGGCCCCACCACACCAGACATGGGGGCAGCCCCGAGGCTCTGCGGGGATGGTGGGATGGGGACCCCACATGTCTCAGCACCCCCAGCAGAGCCTCTCTTCATGTTGAAGCAGAGGCGCAGAAGGCGTGTCTCCATGGGACCGGGGTGGCGGCCTCCCCGCCCTCCCCTCCCGCGGGATCTGGCCACCCACCATCGCTTGTCCTGCTGCAGGAGCACGTCGCCCGCCTCCAGGTAGAGGCCATGGTGGTAGCAGGAGCACTTGGCCTGCGGCACGCAGCGCCCCTTCTCATCCAGGAAGGTGTGGTCGGGGCAGCCACAGCCGTCTACGGGTGCAAAGCCCTTAAGACAGTGCTTGTCAGGCTCCGAGAGGGAACGGCAGGTCTGCTGGCAGGTGGTCAGGTTGTAGAGAAAGATCTGGGAGCTGGGGCAAGAGTCCACGTCCTTGTCTGAGGGGAGTGAGGGGAACCAGTGTGAGCCAAGGGGTGGCCAGTTCTGTCCCTGACCCACACCGTCCCCACAGGGTGGACGCGGCAGTGCCCACAGTCCCAGGCCCCACAAGCGGAGAGCCTGCAGTCGGCTGAACCCATCCCCGTGACCTCCTATGCCCAGGGTGAAGGGTCACCCTCCCCGCGGAGCCCAGGAGGGCGGCACTCACTGCAGATGTGCTTCCGCCAGCCCCACAGCATGATGCCCTTGGCAGCGCAGGCTCGGGCGTAAGAGGACAGGGCGGCACACAAGCAGTCCTCGTTGTTCTGACAGTTGCACGTATCATACTTGCACCTCTGGGTGGCAGACGTGGGTGCCGGTGGTCAGAGAAGGTGACAGGGCGCAGGCACACGCAAACACCCCCATGCATGTGCACACACGAACATATACACATATTTCACATGAGCGAAAGCACTCCCAGATACGCGCACACACACCCCACATGTGTACACACGCACAGAACGCACAAACCCCCATGCGCACGAGTGCACACAGGCTTACACACTCAGTGGGGGCCCCCCAGAGGTATCAGGGTGAGGTTGCCTGAGGTCACGTGTGTGTATGCCCACCTTGTAGTACTCGGTGGGGTCCACGGCGGAGTGGCACCTGCTGAAGGGAATCTCTCTCTTCTTCAGTAATGAGCACCAGTGCTCGGCGTAGTTGGCTGCAGAGGGGCAGGGGTTCAGACCTCAACAAGGGTGGGTCCACTCCGAGGGCAGGTCCCTGAGTCCTGCCCCCAGGGGGGGTCGGACCCAAGCCCAGGCGCTTCCCGCCGGGTCGGATCTCGGGCAGACCAGCTCAGGACGTGCTGGCCAGAAGCCCCTCGAAAGGCCAGGCGCCCGCTCCCGCTCTTCACCTCAAGGGTGCGAACATGCCCAGGGAGGGGGTGGGGTGCGAGTGGGGTTGCAGGTGTCATGGCACCAGGCCAGCCCTGGACGAGGACACCACCCAGCACCTCGCCATCTCGGCCACCCTCACGTGGCTTGGCGAGCTGCCCACTTCGGGCACCATGAATCACCCACCGGCAGGAAACAGCCGGCAGCCTTGAGTAAGGCAGCAGTCTTCCTCCCCCCTCCCACAAGCCGATGCCCCCGGCGTCCCCCCAGCTCACCGTTCTCGACGCTGAGGGAGCAGGGGTCGTCCAGCCAGTCCAGCTTGTCCTGGCAGCTCGACTGGGCCTTCCAGGTGTTGGCGAAGCACGAGCCCGTGGCCTCCACCAGCCCGCCAGCCGTCTGGAAGTCATCGCTCTCCAGGCCATTGAAGTTCCCGCAGAGGCCTGGGGGGGGACAGGGGGCGTTGGGAGGGGTGAGGGGGACCAATGGGAGCTGAGGAGGCCGGGACCAATGGGGGGTGGGGGCCTGCAGAGCCCGAGGGGTGCGGCGGTGGGCGGGCACTCACCCTGCACCTGCCCCTGGGCGTCCCGGTCCAGGGTGGCGAAGAGCTGCATGATGGGGAACAGCTGCACCTGCAACCGCAGGCCGAAGGTGGTGTGGACGATGATGTGGTAGGAGGAGGGCCGGAAGATGGAGAAAGTCGCTGCGGTGCAGGGCACGGGGCGGTCAGGAGGGGGCCTCGAGCTGTGCTCCCACCTCCCCTACCCCCTGCTCAGCAGAGGCCCCAGGAGGGAGCGTCTGCCCTGACCCAGAGCGCCCAGCCTGGGGCGGTTCCCTGCCCAGCCCGGGCCTGAGAGGGTAGTGCCGTTCCAGCAGACTCTGGGACGAGCCCTTGAGGCTCCAACGGAGCTAGAGGGTCCCGACCCCTGGGAGCAGGTAGGTCCTGGGCATCCTCCCGCACGCTCACCAGTCACATGGGGCAGCTTGACCTCCAGCTCATTCAGGAACACACTCCCATCTGACTTGAAGGTCACCACCTGCAAAGAGGGAGCAGCGGGCTGAGGGGGCATCGGGGCAAACAGGGGCCGGGGAGGGCAGGCAGGGTAGGGGGCCAGGGGCAGGAGTGGGCAGGACAGGGCAGGGTGGGGGGGCCAGCAGCAGGAGTGGGAGGGGCAGGGCAGGGTAGGGAGCCAGGGGCAGGAGCAGGTGGGGTAGGGCAGGGTAAGGGAGCCAGGAGCAGGAGCAGGTGGGGTAGGGCAGGGTAAGGGGGCCAGGGGCAGGAGTGGGCGGGGAAGGGCACCCACGTTCTTATTCCTGTCTGTAAGCAGCACCACTGTCTTCAGGCAGGTCTGCTTGTCTGTGGAGCCACAGGAGGCCAGCTCACCCAGCACAGCGAAGGAGTCATTGTGGTCACCCTGCAGGGGGGTCAGAAGGTGATGCAGTGGCGAGGAGCAGGAAGATCACTTCCCCCAGGACTCCACACCCCAAGGACCCCACACCCCAAGGACCCCACACCCTGAGGACCCTGCACCCTGAGAACCCCACACCCCAAGACCCCACACCCTGAGACCCTGCACCCTGAGGACAACACACCCCAAGGACCCCACACCCCAAGGACACCACACCCTGAGGACACCACACCCTGAGGACCCTGCACCCTGAGAACCCCACACCCCAAGGACCCCACACCCTGAGGGCCCCACAGCCTGAGGACCCCACATGTGGAGGACCCTGCACCCTGAGGACCCCACACCCCAAGGACCCCACACCCTGAGGGCCCCACAGCCTGAGGACCCCACACGTGGAGGACCCTGCACCTTGAGGACCCCACACCCCAAGGACACCACACCCTGAGGACCCCACACCCCGAAGACCCCACATGTGGAGGACCCCACACCCTGAGGACCTCGCACTCCAAGGACCCCACAGTGACAGAGGAGGGGCCCACTTCACCCACGATACTGCCCACTGCCCACCAGACCCCCAAGCACAGGGCGGTCTGTGCCGGCGGGCACTCACCTTGGCCAGGATGTAGTAGCAGTCCCCGTGGAAGGTAAACTTCTTCCCGTCGAACGTGGTGATGTGGGAGCCACCCTCCAGGGCGCAGGTCCCGGGACACTGCAGGTCTTGGCACACCCAGCGGCCTGAGTTGCAGGTGCTGTGGGCAGCGGGGGTGGGGTCAGGCCCACCACCCGGCTCAGTCACTCCGCTGTGCCACCCCGCCACGCCCTGGGGCCACATACTCACCACTGCTCACAGTTCGTGGTGACCTGCTGGCCTGGCGAGTACAGGCGTCCGTGCAGCTTGCAGTGGCACTGGCTTACAGGGATGCAGCCACTCCCAGCAATGTCATCCAACACAGTGCCTGGACGGTGAGGGGGAGGGACGGGGCGTTACCTGGGCGGGCACAGCTACTGCCAGGCCTCCAGACGGCGCTGGAACCCTCCCCTGGGGAGCTGCTAGGACCAAGGCCACAGCCACAGGCATCTCTGGTCTTTAGGACCAACATCTGTGGTCCCCACCAAGTGTCTGGGTCAGCAACGTGCCCGGGGAGGCCTGGGGGGACCCTAGAAGCAGGGCCGTGGGCTGGGAGGATCTGTCCAAGGGGTGATGACAGGAATCCCCCTGGGTGGACCGTGGTGGGGGCCCTTCTGCTACTCTCGTCCCTCCTATGTCAACTTTGCCCCTGATTTCAGGGCGGCAGTGTGGGTGGGTGGGCGCCATCACTGCCCTGCACGGTCCAGTGGACACCCACAGCTTCCCTCCACGCGGCGAGGCAGGTGCCCCCCCCCCGCCCGGCCCCGCCCCGCCCCGCCCAGCGCTCGGTGCCCAGCGCGCACCTTCTGGGCAGAAGCAGCCATCCATACGGTGTTCCTCGCAGAGGCTGCTCATCTCGAGGTGCGAGCAAGTGTCCACGCAGGGAGAGCCGTTCTCCAGGTAGATCATGTTCCCGGGGCAGCTCTTGGCTACATGGGCAAACGTGGGCGGTGAGCTGGCCCCACCGGCACACCAGGGGTGAGCGGTGCGCAGCAGGGCCGGGCGAGTGTCTGCCCAAGGCCGCCGCCTCTGGGGTCTTGCCCACGGGCACCTGGCTGCCCTGCCCGGCCTGAGCCCCTCGCCCGTCCGCCCGGAGGCCAGCCGTACTTACGGCAGAGCGAGGCGCTCCTCCAGCTGCGCGGCCGCCCGCCGGCTTGCGAACACTGGCGCGAGAACTCGGCAACCGTGCGGCAGACGCAGGCTGCCCGGGCATCCGACCCGCAGCGACAGCGGTCCTCCACGCAGGCCTGCACGTACTGCTCCAGCTGCACCCGGCCCAGGCAGTCCGAGAAGGCCTCAGAGCTCAGCAGCTGCTCGCACTCGGCGCGCTGGCGGGACAGGCGCGGTGGGCGGCTGCTCGGCCCCTCCTCCCCCGGTGCCGCCGCCGCAGGTCTCCCGGAAGGACCCCCAAGGGAACGCCGTCCCCGGCCCGGTCCCTGCCTGGACTCACGTGCTGGCTGCAGGAGGCAGGGACGGCCTCCTCCTCGGGGTCCTGGCACACCACCTCGGGATTGTTGATCTTCTGCATGTTCCCGAACTCGGTGGGGTTGAAGTGGATGCCTAGGAGGGACAGCCCCTTAGCGAGGGGGCTCAGGGCGCCACCCCCATGCCACAGAGACTCTGGGGCGGCCCTTACCATCAGTGAAGAATTCTGAGTAGCTCTGCAGGCCATTGAAGTCCCCACAGAGGCCGCATGTGTGGTTCTGGAACTTAAGGTCCAGCTCTAGCTGTGGGGGAGGGGCAAGTGAGCTGTGGGCAGGTGGGCACCAAGGGGCCGGGGCAGGTGGGCACCACTGTGGACATGGCAGGTGGGCACCAAAGGGCTGGGGCAGCCGGTCATAAGCACCCCCACCATCACCACAGCCTCCTCCTTTGAAAGAGCTTGGGCTTCACTTGTGGCGGGAGGTTTGGGGTCAGCCACCAGGAAGCCCCTGGGGCCACTGGGGGCTAGGAGGGATCCAGGGAAAGGGTGAGGCCCCCTCACCCTAGGCCCCAAGTGTCCCCTCCCAGGGCGAGGTAAGGCTGAGGCCAGGCACAGATTGTGCAGTCCACCTCTGCCCCTAAACTGCCCCTAGAGCCACTGGGAGTCCTATCCCGTCTCTGCCCGCTGGGGCCTTTGGGATCTCATCTACAAGGGAGGGATTGGACCACAGGCCCCCCTGCCCTCCCCTGGCTGCCCCAGAATTGGGCAGGGGCCGTGCCCACCATGAGCGAGTCCTCGCGGTTCCATATGAGTGAGAGGCCAACACGGGAGTAGACCTTGGTGTAAGCCTCATTCTTCTGGATGAGCAGCCCGGAGCTATAGTGCGGGGTGCTGACCCTGGGGAGGTGGGGGAGTGCTGTGTCACTGGCTGGCCCAAGCCAGTCTGCACTCTGCCACCACCAGAGCCCACCTCCCTGGGCACCCCTTCCCTGCCAGCTGCCTCCGGGATGACCAGTCCACACCTTCCCCCTCCCCCCACCCAGGCACCTGCCTAGTCCTGTCCGCCCAGCTCACACCCCGTGCCACAGACGGTCTTGGCCGCCCTCTAGCGGAAGACACGGGTAGTGGCCAGAGAGCACTGGTCCCCCTCAGCCCCAGCTTCCTCTGGGAGGAGTAGACCCTGCCTGCCGCCTGCTCCACACTCCCCCTCTCCTCGGTGGTCGGTGGTCTGTCCCTTCCCGGGGCCATGGAGAGCAGGAGGGCTGGGCTGCCTGCCCGTGCCAGCCTCTTGCTCAGAAGGGCACCCAGCAGGATGTCTGCTGGGGCGGGGGGGCTCCTCCAGACCCTGCCCACCCCTTCACCCCTGATGCGGTCCCTGATGCTGGTGGGTCCCCCGTGCACCTCCTGCCGGCACCCAGTGCTGGCCTAGGCACCTGCCCTCACCCTAACCTCCACCCCTTGTGACTGGCTGCCTGCTTTCCAGCTGGTGGGCAGAGCAGGGACACGGGCGGAGGCTGCATGCAGAAAATAGAATTCCACAAGCAAGGAGAGAGCAGATGCGCAGGCTGGGGAACCAGCCCAGCAGGAAAGCATTTAAGAGATTTCTATTATTCCGGAGACAATCAGGGAACAATAGCTGGGTAGTAGGGAGGGGGTTCCCGGCCTTGCCTCTGCAGCCCTTCTGTAACTGTATCTATCCTAGGCGTTCCAGGCCCAGTGGGACTGGGCCCAGGCATCCCTGCCACGCACCAGAGCCTGGGTGGGTGGGAGGGGAGGGTGCAAGGGGCTCTTAGGCAGCCCCCATGGGACAGAGCGCCCCTGGGACCCACCCCCGCCCTTGGGGCTCCCTGTGGTGCTCAGCCAGTGTCGGCTGGTGAACATTGGTGACATGAGCTCAGACCCCAACCCTCTCGCTTCTTAGCTTCATGGCCTCAGCAGAGGGGGTCCCACTGCCCCCAGGCTGCGGGCTGAGTGGGGCTGGCCCAGCAGCAGGAGCCCCTCGCCCTTTTCCCCAACCCCACCTCCCATTACTAGGATACGGGCCCCTGTCCGCACTCACAGGGCCCCGTTCACCACGACCAGCTGCTTCGTCAGGTAGACAGTGTCATCCTTGATGGTCAGCAGGATGTACTCGAGATCAGGCTGGCTGCTGCCGTTGTTCAGGCTGCGCTTCAGGTGCACGGCAAACTCCTTGTAGGAGTCACGGCAGTCGGAGGCAAAGTTATAGTCACAGAGGCCACGGAACTGGTAGACGTCACCGTCAAAGGTCTTGTAGTGGCCGTCCCCCCATGTGCTGCAGACTGAGTGGCCATGGTTTTGGGTCCTGCCTTCTGGGGGGCAGTAGGGCACCGGGGTGAGCATTGGCAGGCAGCCCCATGCAGGGAGGCCCTGCCCACCCGGCTACCCACCCAGCCTCCCCATGGACCTGACCATGGTGA